CCCCCCCCCCCGACTGTACTAATCCAACCATGGGGTAAAATTCCATCCTGACCCCAAATATGGCAATCAGTCTGACTCTGATTGGAGGGGAAAGACCTTGCAGCCAGAAGCATCTGGCTTTAAGTCCTGGCAGGACTTAAAGCACTGGCAAACCCCAGTCAAAATCAGTAGCCTTGGCTACAGCCAACATGCAATGTTTCTGGGGAAGGCTTAAAAAACAACCAACCAACCAACCCCACAAACCTGACACATGTAGCAGAAAGTGGATGGTGGAGGAGGGAGCTGAATTTCCTCTTAGCCCCATGCAGCAACCAGCAAAGCTCAAAAGCATGGGAAACATGCTATGCTTAGGTCATCCCTGACCAGCAGCTGTCTAATCTCTTCTTGAGCACCTTCAGTGATGGAGGGTCCACAACTCCCCTAGGCAGTCTGTTCCACTGTCTCACTGTTCTAAGAGTGAAGAAGCTTTTCTGGATCTCCAATCTAAACTTACTCTTCTGCAACTTCAAGGCAATGACCACACCCTAGTCCCTGCAGCAAGAGAGAAAAGGTGCTTCCCTCCTTCTTTATGGCAACCTTTCAAGGATTTAAAGACTGCTATCATGTCCCCACTTCAGTGCCTTTTCCACAAACTGAACAAACATCGCTCCTTCAGCCTCTCTTCATATGACTTGCTTTCCTATCTCTATCATATTTGTCACATACCTCTGGACACTCTCTAACTTCTCCATGTCCTTTTAAAAACGTGGAGCCCAAAACTGCACAGAGTACTCTAGGGGAGGCCTAAACAGTGCCGAGTAGAGAGGCACTATCACCTCCCACATCTTACACCTAATGCTTCTATTTGTGCATTCCAATACCACATTTGTCTTTTTGCAGTTGCATCACACTGAAGACTCTGGTACTGAGTCTGTGATTTACCAAGACTCCCAAATCCTTCTCACAGTACTGCCACCCAGCCCAGTGTCACCCATTTTGTATTTGTATTTTTTATTGTTCTTTCCAAGGTTTAGCACATTGCATTTATCAGCATTGAACTTCATCCATAAGATGAGGCTAAGAATATAAAGAGCCCCAAGATCTACTTACGAAAATCATTGCGGAAGAGCTACATACTGTCATCTTACTACTGTAACTTGTCAGACACATATCTAAGTAACTATATCAGCATAAATGGCCACTGTCACAGCATTACTGCATCAAATAAACTAGGACATTTCATGAAGAAAACTTTTAGGGGGTGTGGGGAGGGGTTTGCACTAGATGATTTCTGAAGCTCCTTTTCATCCTTTTCAGCCCTACTTTTCTATGATTCAAACCACAGTATCACATTATGACAGGAGAATGAGGTGATGTGTATGTAAATAATGCTGATACTGATCTTCCTTTATGATTAAGACAATTAAATGAAAACAAGATAAGTTTGAAAGCGCTTATTAAAGCAAGATAATCACTGTGATCCAATCTGAAGAAACAAAATCCTAAGAAAATAAAAATCAGACCAGGACCTAAATTAAATATCAAAATCTGAGCTGCAAGAAGTCTCTCCATGCATAACATTTAGTTTCTCCTGAATAGTAATTGGTGTATTGTTGCTTCTTGTAACACATAAATAATTATTTCAGCAGTTATCCTCCCAAAACATAGAAGCAAGCCACAAAAACTGTCATTTACCCTGATTTGATGACAGTCATAAAATTGAATGCTTACCTCAAAAGGATAGGGTTGAGGTGGTGGGAGGCTTGCAATTTTGGCAGCTCTCGCTTTTTCCACACATATTGCATGCTTACGTGCATTTACTTTCCTTGAAAGAGGAAAAAAACCATTTAAGTAGAAACATTAGCGTAATGTAAAACTGAGAGAAAAACTAAAAAATTAGATTTAGAATTGTTTATGCGTGAATACAACTGCTCTTGGGGGACAGTGATTTAAGATATATTCAACAGGCAATTGAATCCAGAATTGATTATTCAATTCTTGAAAATATGCAAACATTCAAAAAGGAATAAGAATTGGAGAAAAAAACAAGCCCCTGAAGAACCAAGGCAACCCCCCTTTTCAAACAAATTTCCTGAAGTACCAGAAGGTTGTGCGCCACTTTGGTGGACCAACTTTAATTGTTCATGCATACAGAAACCTATCTATAGTGCCTCATTTCTGTTATAGTACAATTAACCTCTAGAGAATACAATTCATTTTTCATGCCCATTCAAACCTGGACTCATCTGCTGAAAAGGCTAATAAGGATGACAGTGACAAATATGATAGCTGCTTTTATGAAGCGGGTAGCTGTCCATCAGGACCTGGCCTGAGATCAACCCATTTTATATGTCACTGAACAGCTGTCAGCTGATCTGGTAAATGATGATAAGACGGGGGATAGGCTCCTCACCCTGTTGCCAGTTCCCTGAACCATCTCGTATAGCTGACCTTCTCCCTTGTTTTTAAAACCAGAATTCTTATCGAACTACAGAAGTGCATCACCAGGGACCCTGGTTTTCTCCAAAAAAAAAATGGCCAATATTCAGATTAAAAAAGTAACCCCAAATCCACCTTTTTCCATGATTAAAATGAAACACCACTATATATTAGGGATGTGCGAAGCTTCGGTTGCCAATTCAATTCGGAGGAGATTCAGCCTGATTCGGCAGCCAAATCTGTGAAACTGAATCAAATCGGGAGACTCATTAAAAGGTCCGAATTGAATCTGAAGCCTCCGAATCGATTCGGAAAAGATTCAAAGAGATTCAGATCGGCTGGGGAGAGGCAGGCACAGACAGGCGGCTGCAGGTTCTCCTGCAGCTCCTATGGCTGTGACTACTTCTCCCAAGGCAGGGGGAGCCACAACAGAAGCCCCCATGGCTGCCCTGCTTGGCCCTTAAAAAAAAAAAGCCCCGCAATTCACCGACTCTGGCAGCAGCAATCAGGGCTTCTGGGGGATCGTGGCAGAACACCCTCGTGCAGCACAGGGCAGTAGGGATCACCCCTCCTCCCTCCCGCCTGGCACCCGCGCAGCAGCGGTTGCATCACGCGGGTGCAACGTGGCTCGGCAGGGCGCTGCACACTTTCTGGGAGGTGTGGCTGCTCCACGTGTCAGCTGGAGCCTCGCAGCATTCAGCCCTAGTGCTCCAGCTCCCAGACAGCGTGCAGCATCCTGCCGAGCCCTGCTGCTCCTGCGCCACTGGTGCCAGGCAGGGGAGAAGTGGGGGTGGTGATCTCCACTGCCCTGCGCTGCAGGCAGGGCAGTCATGGGGGCTTCTCCCATGGCTCCCTCCACCCAGGGAGAGGCAGGCACAGCCAGAAGAGCTGTGGGAGAACCTGCAGCTGCCCGGGTGTGCCTGCTTCTCCCCAGCCAATCTGAATCTCCGAATCAGTGTTCTGATTCTGATTCGGCCAAATCAAATGGGTACAGTGATTTGAAATCACCGAATTGAATCATTGTCCTCCAAATCAGCTGAATCTGAATTGAATAGTTCCCTATTCACATGGGCCTACTATAGATCCCAACAAGAAGCAAGGGAGGCAAGAGTGCCCAAAAGCCCCCCTGGCTCACCAAGGACGTCCGGGAATGCCTGGTTGCCAAAAAGGCGGCATACACCTGGTGGAAGGGGGGCGCTATCTCCAAAGAAGAGTATACCTCCACTGCTCGGGCCTGTTGGGGGGCTGTTAGGAAAGCTAAGGCGGACGTAGAGCTAGGACTAGCGTCCAAGATCATAGATAATAAAAAGTCCTTTTTCAAATATACAGGGAGGATGAAGAAGGCAC